AGAGAGAGAGAGAGAGAGAGAGAGAGAGAGACTAAAAGTAGGCATAAATCAAATGCGAGTAACAGAATGTGTTGAAAGAATCTCAATAAATATTTTAAAGCATTAATTGATTTACGCCAAGATGTTATTGATCTCATAAAATCACTCTAGTTCTAAAACAGAAATTAAATAATATGCAAGGAAAAATAACTAAAATTATAATTTATTATTATAAATCGTGTTAATTGCTAGAATAACTAGTTATTAATAACATTATAAAATAAAATAAACGTACAGTTAATCCTCAGATCTATGGGGTCGCTGATTGAGTCGCCCTCGTTATTAAACGCCATACACTGGTACTGACCCCTGTGTTGACGCCTAACCTTTTGAATGACCAGCGATTGGTTGGTAACGATAACACCGGACGACTGAGTGGTGACCAATGGTTTGCTGTCGAAGAGCCACAAAACCTCTTTGATCCACGGGTTGGCCCGTATGTGACACTCGAGGTATATGTCGCTGCCCTCGCGTATAGACTCTTTCTGTATGTTCGCCCCAAACGATAGCGTTATTTGTGGCGGAACTGTACCGTAAATAACCGGGAAGTATATGTTAATAAATAAATCGATATAGAAATTATTATATTTGGTGATTGGTGGATTAATTATAATAGTAAATAACTAATTAAAAGATATTAAAACTAATCACATTTAATTATATAGTATAATTCATGTGAAGGCAAGTGCTTCAAAAAAGGCTTCAAAAATAAAAAAATAGCCCTATGTTATTCATACAATATTCATATGTTAAAAATAATTTTTCCCCTTTTCTGCCGTCTCATGGTATAATTAGTAAATAATTTATAATAAATTATAATTAAAAAAAATTATAATTAAAATAAATATAAAAACTTAAACGTTATGTACAATATATAAACTAATGACAACATACAGTATACGTTAAGCACACGGCTGTCCTCGAGGGCCGTGTGAGGCATCGGCAGGTTGTCTGCCCTACAGGACAGTTGTTTGCCGTTGTCGTCAATCGCCGGCACAAACGATACGACTGAGAAGCTAGTGTTGCCATCGTTTATAAGTGAGTCCCGGGCTGTAGTGACCCTATGGTTGTGTTTCCACCACGTTATCTGCGCCGGTGGTCGGGAGCCCGTCGACCGGCACTGAAGCTCTGTCCGCATACCGGCCACCAGTGGTCGCATTGGCGTTGCGATCAATACGTCCAATGGTTTTACTATGGATTTAAGAATTGTTAATAATTTGCAAATTCCTGTAGTATAGTTTATAGTGATAAATATTCATGGTGAATATTGTGTTAAAGAATTTTTGAATGGTGTGTTGAACATGGTTGATTTCTAAAATTCATTTGTTTTGTATAATAACTATTATGTGTCAAGGTTGTATTAAATTTGTTATTTGGTTAAGTTAAAATTTAAATTTATGATTTATGCATTTAATGCACGGTATTAATGATATAAATCACACAATTATTTGCAAGAATAATGAGAGAGAGAGAGAGAGA